TTTGCAAACCAAAAATAATATCCTCAGAATACAAAGAAAAATAGCTGAAAGTAAAAGAAATCAATATAAACAGTATTTTATTCGCCTTGTGTCCAAAATGGACAAAATTAATACTCCAAATATATGCCAAGGCTTAAAGCAGCAACAACGCTACACATGTAAGTAAAAATATTTAAGTATCTGAACGAAGAATTCTAGTCTCTTCCCAGATTTTATTGTCCTGACTAAGCACCTGTTAGACCTAATTAATTTTAGAATGTTTTAAAGGATTGCAATTGTGATGTATTTTAATGTGTGATATGATGAGGCTGTTGACGAACTGTGGTTGTTTTTTAAATTAATAATTTTTTTTTTAACTATCTGTTATTTTAGAAAAACTGATGATGGTGGAAAAATACACCAAAACGTATTTTAATTGATAAATAGAGGCAATAAATGACTGAAACCCAGGAATTAATTTTGATTTGGAATTGAAACACAGTCAGGAAAGTATATACAATTATTGTCTATTTAATCATTCTTGTGTGCCAACTACTTAACGGTCATTTGTTCCTAATGTTAAGTTTAGGTGATTTTGTTTCTTGAAGTTGTTTTTACAACCTTTATTCATTTCCTTGTACAAAAAGCATTCTTTCTCATTTAGGTGAAAATTAATCAAATGTGGGTCATACACAGAAAAGTTATGCAGAAAAGAAAAACCCGCGGTTAAAAATTTGAATTCAAGTTTTCATTAGGTTTTAAAAAGTTTTTATATAAAATAGAGGAATATTAAAATAAAAAATAGTAGAAAAATCAAGTTTCTCCTTGAACCGCTGGTGAAGCTACACCTTTTGCAACTAGTGCAGTTTTGGAAGCGAACTTTTGCTTTTCCAAAGCTCAGCAAAATCAGATTTTATCGAAATTTCAATAAAGTTTGGTACGTGTTTAGAAACAGCTATTCTGTATTGCTGAGCGAACACTCAAGTTCTTACTTGCACTAAGTTGGAAGTTATGAACTTATAAAATGGATCGTGCATTTGTGTGATATTCGTTATTTTCAGACCAGCATTTGCAAAGTTGCCAAAAATCAGAATTTGGTGCTATTTTAATTAAATTAGTGGAGATTTGAGGCCCAAGTGTTATCTACAAACCCAAGAAGTGTCTAGTTGATCCGCACTCTGCGTTAGAAGTTGAAAATATTTAAAGGACAGCTGGCAACTGTGTGAAAACCGTCATTTTTCAGCCAGTGTTCAAAAAGTTCTTATTTTAATCACATTTCCACAGCTTTGAGAATCAAGTAATATTTTCTGATACACAAAGTTGCTACTCAAGCTAAATTCAAATCAAGAAGTTTTCCATTTAGTGACCGGACAACTGTGTGAAAACTGAAATTTTCAGACCAGCGTTCAAAAATTACGCAAGCATCCCATTTCCATGTGACTTGTGACTCTAATCAAGGTTTTACCGATGTAAGGATCAAGTCTGGTCTACCCATTTTGAGACTTTAAAGTTGCTACTCTTGCATTATTCGAAGTTTTAAAGTTTTGTAATTGAGCGTGCAACTGTGTGAAAACCGTAATTTTCAGGCCAGCATTTAAAAAATCGCAAGCATCAAATTTACGGGTCAATTTAACGAAAGTTTCACATGTTTGAGAGTCAAGTATTGGCTACTGATGGTGAAAATTAAAGTTGCTACTCCGCATGCATTTTAAGTTTGAATTTTTTTGAACAGGGCCTACAGTTGTAAGAAAAGCGTTATTTTCATGCATGCATTCACAACGTTGGCCAGCATCAAATGTAGGAGCGATTTCAGTTAAAGTTTTGCAGTTTTTCAACTCAAGTATAGCGAACCGATGATCAAAATTCCAAGTAGCTCCTGGATCAATATCAGATGTTGGAAATTTGAAAACTAGACCGTGCAACTGTGTGAAATCCTTCATTTCAGGGCATCATTTACAAAGTTGGCAAAAATCAGATTTAAAAGTTAATGAAATACTCACATATTTGAGACCGAAGTTTTATCTGCAGATAAGAAGACAATTTAAGTTGCTAAGTTGCTGCACGAGCTCTATTAAGAGTTTGCGATTTCTACATTATAGAGTGCAACTGCTTCCAAACCGCTGTTTTCAAGTCATCGTTCACACAGGCCTCCATCCCCAAATTTCCTTGCGATTTCGACTGAAGTTTCAACATTGTGAGGCTCAAGTATCTTCTACTGATCAAGAAAATTTAAAGTTCCCACTCGCTCTCTGTGATAAGTTCGTAACTTTCTAAGCAAATCGTGCAACTGAGTGAAAATCGTTTGCAGGCCATCATTTACAAAATTAGCAAAAATCAGGTTTAACTCCGATTTTAATTAAAGTTTCACAGGTTTGAGACTCAAGTATAATCTACCGATCGTAAAAATTTTAAGTTGGCACTAGTGCTCTGTTCAAAGTTTGAATTTTTTAAAGTAGATCATGCAACTGTGTGCAAACCGTCATTTTCCGGCCAGCATTCAAAAAGTTGTTGAGCATCAAATTTCGACGCGATTTTAACTAACGTTTCTCAATGGTGAGGCCCACATATCATCTATGTATGGCGAAAACTTAAAGTAGCTGGGGGCATTATTTTAGGAGGTACAATTTTTTTATGTGAAGCGTGCATCTGTGTGTAAACCGTCTTTAGCAGGCAATTTGTTCAATTAATTCAATAAGATGGCAAGCGCCGAAGTTCGTTGCGATTTTAACTAAAGTTTCAAATTTGTTTGCAAACACAAAGTTTGCATTTTGCATGGAATGAGGCAATTTTAATTCGTAGTTTTAGCGCAATCTAGAATTATGTGCAACGGTGCTAGAACGAACATTCTCAAACACTTTGAATAGTCAGTTGTTGATAATTTCTTGCAAACAATTAAACTACAGATTGAGCAAATAATAGTTTCTGTGATTCTCACTGTTTTTCCAATTTAATGGTTTTTCGCTGAGTTTTCTCCATTGGCAATTTAAAATAAAAACATTAATTTCAAATCCCCGACTGTCCCCGATTGTTCTTTCGACTCAATGTCGATATATTTGTTATTGGCTCGTTCAATTAACCTTTTTGTCCAATCCGTTGTGTTCAATCGAATTTTTCTTTGTTTGATTTATTTCCTGTTCCATGCAAACGTAAAACTGTCGATTTAGATAATATTTGTTTCGTAGTGGTTGATTTTTCATGCAACAAAGGCCAGTCTTTCACGTAAAAAAGCTGATTTTTCATGTAGCAAATCTACAAAGGTACAAATCATTGAGCGTTTCTTCCATCGATCTTCACTGGATTGCAAAATCTGCTAATCACACAAGCTTAATTTTTCAAGCAGGGAATTCAACTTCCGCTTGACAAAGCTTGGACAAACCCCCAAATCAGTAATTAATCACACGTGTCCAGTTGCAACCGCATTATTCGCTGGAATTAACAAATAAAGCACAACATTTACTGATTGATAATGACATTCCTTTGCCAAGAACGTGCACGTATTATGCAGTCTCGTGAAAGTGAGCTGGACCTGAATCGGGTGAAGAAAAAATGAAACTACTGCTGGTCGCCGACAAGAAAAAACCAACATGTGAACGAAGCACGAATTAGATCAGTCAGTGCAATAATTAAAGTTACATTTGCAATTGTTGCATTCGTGCTGGAAATTTGCGCTAATTTCTCAATTCATCATCAAACAACTGGCAAAAAAAAGGT